TTGTCCAAAAACCCCCTTATTTTTTCCTTGACTTTTTTTTTCCCCCCCCCCCCCAGTGGCACAGCGACATGTCTGCGGACTTACAATGCTAGAAACCGGTTTTCGATACCCGTGGTGGGAAGAGAACAGATAGGCCAATGTGTAGCTTTGTGCTTAATTACAAACAAGCAAACTAAAGTATGAGATAAAAAGCATCATGTTGCCATGGTAACCGATGCATGTTTTCTTTCGTGGCGTCAAAGGGTTTGCTATTGTTAGTATAAATTGAATTGTTCAAAAATTAAACAAAAGAAATATATATATATATAATTCTACGTATTCTACTTACAAAAATAAGAAGAAATATAAAAATAGAATTAAATCTGTAAGAGAAGAAAGTATAGCATCGAAGAACTTTTACTTAATTTATTTAAATTCTTCAATTACAAATTCAATTTGGTTAAGCATGCTGGTATTTTTTTTTTTTTCAGTTTTCACAGCCAGTATAAATGGAAATGTCCCAGTTTACCGTCATTCTTTGCCACTTTCTTTTTCTGATGTGATGTCTGCACGAATCCGCGTTTCTGCTTTCCGCGCGTGTTGAGAGTGATTTCTGTGCTGTCTCGCGGTCGTTTCTCGCGCAGTTGGGGCAAAGAACTCATGTGCCTCGCATGACGTGAATTTTATTGTTCGTCTGCTGTTGAACAACACCGATCGCTACAGTGCTTTCGTTCCAAGTGCGCAGTTCTATCCACGTGATATATCTACAAATAATGGCAAAAGCAGTATAACAAAACTACAGCTTTTAAACGTCAGAGGGCCAAAGTGAGGCTGAGAATGCAAAGCTGAAGCTTCGAGTTGTCTCTGTAACCAATAAGACCAGTGTCAAATGTCCCAACTAACATGTGTGCTAACTGGGTAGCTGTGTTCTTTGTGTGGATATCCTTCTTTCTCGGTAGTAACTCCTTACCAGAAGTCATCAAAGTCGGTAAGTCTATTTCAGTGTGAATGTGCAAAATTAGGCATATAGTATACTTATCAGCTCAATTATTCCATTGTGCTTTTATCCAGTCGAGCCGCGAGAAATGAAACTAACGTTGCCTGTGTTTAGGCTTATGCAAAATATATAGTAGCAATAATAATTTAATTATATTTTAAAAAGCATTTTTCATAACAGGGTATCAAAAACCCCAGGTCACATTACATTATGACCCACGCTATGATTTGTGCCCCAGTTTGTGGCTGCGTTTATATTTTTTCAGTTATATTTTGTCGTTTGTTTATTTACTTATTTATATTTTTTTTCCCTTCTCTACAGTATTAAGTCTAATTATCATACAATATATATATATGTGTGTGTGTGTGTATATATGCATATATGCGGGGTAAGGAAAACGTACTAACCAGTTGATACTATACGTCAGAAATTAAATTATGTTCTAAATGAAACAACTGTTTAATCACTTTTACCCAGCTCGTTTATATTTCACGAAATTCTTAACCCTCGTAATACCGACTTGTCTACGTCTCGTGCACAATCGTGAATTACACGTATTACATCATATTGAGAAATGGATAAAAATCCTATAACCCGAGCGCGTTCACATTACATGAAAAAATAAGCAAAGCTGAATTTCCTAAAACTTACTATTTATTTAAGATAATTTT